TTCGTTTAGGAGGCGTTTTAGTTGCTAGTGCTCTGCTTTGTAGTTGGTACGCGTGCTTCAGGATATTTTTGAAGTAATGCAGAATTTTCTAGTCTTCTTTTCTCGGCTATTTTGTTAATAAGAATTTTGATATTTCAAACGCCAGCTTTGGGTGTAGCGAAGTCTGCGGTGTAGGGTCCAAGGCTGCTTCTTGAATATTTTTGTATTATTATTACTCAGATCCGCTTCGTCTATGGGGTAGCTGATTTTAGTGGTAATCGGAATGTTTGTTTTCATAGATATCTGTTTTTCTATAAGCAAGTTCAGTTTGTCTTTCTTGTTCGTTAGTGACGCGGGAGAGGATTGTAGAATAATTTGTTGCCGTAGTGTGATATTATTGGAGTGTGGTCTGAGGACAGTTTCGGGGAAGATTCCTATGATACAGTTTAGTGATGGGAATTCCTTTTTGTTATGAATAATGTCAATTACATGCTGGAGTTTTGTTTAGATCGTAGGCAGTAGGTAGGTTCTCTGTAGAAAATGGTTTTTCTAGCTGAAGTGAGGTAACTGGCTTTCAGCAGTTCTTCTCTCTGGAGTGATTGAGCCCTGGATCCCATTGCGTGTGTTGGTTCATTGTAGTCTGCCTCCCCCCATGTACTTATTTCTAGAGACTTAAAATAGGTTTTCAATCGTTTTTTGTTATTTTGAATCTTGGAGGGGCAAGTAAATGGCACTGATGGTACATTGGTCACTGCCCAAGTCCATAATTTGTACCGTGTTGCTTGAAATATCGTGTTTCTGTACAGCTTCCTGTTCTTGATTGTTTATAGTGTTTTTTTATTAATGTTGTGTGCACATGGGGCATTGCACTAGGGTGTTTTTAGTATCGTATAAAGTGTAGTTTCTTCAGTTTAAGTAGCTTTTTTTCTGTGAAGTGAGATTCAGAGATGAGTAGCATGTCTATTTTTGTTTTCGTTTGAGAATATTTCGATTTCTTGGCGATGGATTTGCAAGCGTTGGCGTTCAAGCTGCAATGCGAAGGTAATTTTAAAGGCATTAGATAGTTTGGAGACAAGCGACGTTTATGAGGTTAATGAGCAGAGTTTATTTGTTTTGACTTTGCTGCGATTAGTATGTTTTTCAACCTCTCAAGGAGTGCTGTATAATTTTCATATTGGAATGCTGATCGTCGTTGTGTTGAATGTCTTTCTTACATGGCTTTGATCGCGCAACATCGGCCCATGTTCCTGTAATTTACATGTCCACTTCTTTGAGTTTTTTGCGTGAGAATAAGTAGTTTTCCCAATGTTCCTGTATTTGTGTTTGCACCATGCTCTCTTGTTGAAACATTCCTGTGTTTACTTGAGTGTTGTACCTTTCCTTTTTAATATTTCCTTGGTATACTTTTGCAAAGCTTGTAGTTTGGCGGGATGGTGCCTCTTCACAACAGAGGCAAGTTGTTGCTTTGCTTTTCTTTTAAGCACTTTCTGGGTCGTGTCTTTTCACATTTACACACTGTACGGGTATGCAGCAGTACGACTGGTATGTTCTATTCTCTTGACAGTTTTTGCATTGTACTATCTCGCGGTTTCAGCGTGGTGGTTTCGAAAGCCACAACCAATTTAAACAGTCGGTTAATTTTGAACATCTTCTTTGTTGTTAGGTTTGGGCCTCAGTCTAGCAAAAATAGGAGGCAGAGGTGATTTAGTTGCTGTGGGCGGACTTTATAATGTTTCTTCACTTTGTGGATCTTTTCCAGAAGCGCAGCTTGATATCTTTTACGTCTACGTTGATGTACTGTGTCGCAAGACAACTCTATACGCACGTTCTTGTTTAAACTGGTATGTAAAAAATATAGGTTTATCCGTTTGAAACTGTTGGCTGATAAATGTTTTATTATTTCCTGAGTAGTATTTGGAGTTTTTCGGCGTTATTTTAAATTTTTTGTCGTTTGCTAGAGATTTTATTTCGAAATCTTCTGTTTTTAAAGTTCCTTTAAAAATTTGATGCATAGTGGAACATTGATTCAATTTGGAACGAAATTGGAGGTACAGTGGTTTTTGGAAAGGTTTCCTATTGTTTTTCTGTTGTGTCTCTTTCCCCCTCGCTTCTATATCAAGAGCACTGAAATTGATTCTTGTGGGAACTGTATATACACTAGTATTACTATCGAAGAACGCTTGTCTTTTGCCTTACCCTTTATTAGCATCAGGGTCGAGGACGTCAGGGTTCGGCCTTTTGAGCCGAGATGGCGTGTATATTTGCCATACATTCTGCCGTCAGGTTTGACGGGAGCAGATGAATCCATGATCATGCGTTGCTGTCGCTGCCTGTTTTGATTCTTCGGATTGACATTTCTTGAAGTAACAGCTTCCCGGGTGTCAGTTAGCAAATGCATCGCACTACATGCTCTGATTCCTACCGAAAGTATTCGTAATTGACGAGTTTTAGTATAGTTGTCTTTTGTTAGGCTGAATTTTGAATATGAAAAGAATGAAACACTGTTCTACTTTACAAATATAACTGTTCACTTAGAGCTAGTGCGCACTGGGTTATTATCGTAGACTTTTCCTTATCTTGGCGCCTCGCGGGCGAGCAAGGTAAGACACTACGGAGCTGCGGGCAGATCGCAACACAGCGGTCAGGCGTAGTATGAGCAATAAATAAATAAATAAAAATAAAAAGGATTGTACATTCTTCGCCGAACTGAAGAATAGCTCTTTGAGATGACTGAGGGCGCACAGGTTTTCATTCACAGTTTTGCCCATTGTTATACCTATTTTTCAACTTTGTTTTCAATTAAATCTTAATTTTAAATTAGTATTCAAGATCATTCTTCAATAATTAATAAACACGACCAAATAAACATTTTTGTAGCTCACGAATTTTATGTTAAAGATCACAAGGTCAGCTAATAACATCGGTGTTTAAAAACATCGATGGTTTTTGGTCGACGTATTAACATCGACATTTTAATTTTGAACATTTAGTAACGTCGGTGTTTTGTTATCAATGTCGCGTTCCTAGTTGCAAGATGCTGCAGAAACATCGACTGTAATATATCGATACCCCTATAAAAACAGATATCGATGTCGCATTCCTCGATGCAACCGCGATCGACTCGCAGAAATAAACGAATTCGGAATGTGTTAGTATTGCTGGCCATACTACATAGATCAGAAGGTAGGTTTTGTTATTTTTCGCAAGGGAATTCCTGGAGCAGTCAGACAAACAGGTAAAGAAGTCTGTTCATGGAGGGGGTGGGGGCGGTTTTGAAGTGTGGATCCTGGCGCAGAGGAAGCAGCGTCCCCACTGTGGGGGTGGGGGACGCAAGGCTGGCCCCGGACAGTCGCTCAGGCGAGGAGTGGGGAGGGAAGTCCGCTGTGGCTATATATGAAGGGATTGAGGCGTCTCCGCGCCTATCACGTGAATCGAAGAAGTCGCGACTATGAAGTGCCTGGTGAGTACTCTTACAAGGCGCCGCATAGCATGTAGACTTCGAAAATCTCACATATTCGGTTAATAACGAAACTAAAACACCGGGGAAATACTACGTAAAGGAAATTAACACCTGAATGTCATTCAGCGTTGAAAATTGTGTTCTGTGCTAGTAATTATTTACGAAGAAAGTATAGTAACGCGTCTTTTTACAATTCGAGATTGAAGAATAAGAGAGATGGAGAATAAGGCCGAATGAGTTTGATAACCAATCGAGTAGAATTATAATAGTCTTAAGATACTGAATTATGTTGACAATAGTTCTTAAAATGTATTTTGCTGACACTTTTTCTATCAGTTTTCTTATGTATGTTCTTTTTACGCACTGTTATGGTAATGTCGAGCCATCTCTTCAGTCTTCATTGTCATCTACAGTCGGAAGCTGTAAAATTTTTTCAAAGAACTCAATGTATTCTGAAGGAATGTAGCTCAACAAATGACGAATTCATAATATTTTTCATAATCAGAAATCCTAATCCACTGAACATATCCGTAACTAATTTCATTGTCTCTAAGAACAGTACTCTCCATTGAGAGTGATGTATAATTATATCACTTTTTCCGCTAAAATGTGTACACAAAAGTTACTACATACTGGCATTCCAAGCGAACAAAATTACTCAGCAATTTAGAGTAGTTCATTAATGACTTAATATGCACTCAACAGAACTGTTACGTCAATGAAAACAGAAAAATCAAACCTCTGTTTATTGTTATGGCGACACGTAATACCAATGGTAGACAGAATACGCCCACCTGTAAATAATTAAATTCAATCCCTAATTTCCCTCAAAACGTTGAGGAGTTAAGCTGCTGCAGTTTCTTAGTAAGAACTAGCAAATAAGTAAAAAGAATTTGTATTATATATATATATATATATATATATATATATATATATATATATATATATATGTGGGGGGGGGTGTATACATAGAGAGAGGAAGAGGGGGGTGGGGGAAATAAATGCAAAAATTAAGGTGAACAAAAATTGCTTACCCTTGGTACTTGTAGGGTTAAATAGAGTGTAGTATGGTTAGAGTATCGGGAGGTTAACCAGCGCATGCCATTGTGACTCCACCTTCGGAGAGCGTGAGCTTCAAGGTAGACGTTTTGACTCCAGGTATGTACCTCTGTATACAGTACATCGTCGTAGATATACTGTATACTCATATGTGAAAGAAACAAAATATTACTGAAGGAAGAAAAAACACGTTGTGATGTTAATAATGTATGAACAGTTGGCTTAGTTTAGGCATCCTACACTTTGTATATGATAGTATTATATATTTATTTATTGTCATATTTTTCTGAAGGCATCTAACGAAAACCTTCCATGTGGCTCCTACCGCATACGAGATATTGTATTATCAATAAATTGTTAAAATCATCTAGGAGTTTTTAATATTCTTTTATATTTTAAGACAACAATTTCTTATTTTCTTTGGAAATTTTCTTTTCCAACTAAAGAACACGTCAATGCTGAATTATTGATACCAAAATGTAAAAAATCGTCATCACCAACAATGTACACCTCCGTGATCAGGTAGTGTTTGCGACGTTGGGCGCCCTGGCGATGGCCCAGTTCAAGCCCTACACCCCCATGAACTGGGACTTCGACTGGCCGCAGGCTGAGCCCGCGCCTCCCAGCACTGCGCCCTCCGACGACGACGCCGCCTCGCCCACCACAGCAGCGCCCCTGGAGGCCAGCGGCAGCGGGCGCTTCGGCGAGAGCGGGGCGCCTGAGTAAGTCATCAAAAGAATTCATTGATTAGTGATTACGGGCGCGACAACTGCTCAGGCTACTAGCGGTGTGGTAAGCGCTCCGTAAGTGTAGTACACGTTTTCATCCCGGGAGATGTCGGTGATCTTCCCCCGCCGGATGGTGAGATCCAACTCCGACCTACACGTTGGCTAGTGGGTTTCCCCAACACTGTATTTCCCATCAGTGACGCACCGCCCCAGCCGGGACAAGCTCTAACACTGTAACCTTCCGACTGGTCTCCAGACATGTGTGGCAGTGTCTTCAAAAGTAATAAGCAGTGAGGATAGGACGAGGAAGAGGAAGGAGAGATCGCGGTCGGTCCGAGGCCCGTTTGTTAGGGCACTGCTCCGGTTTTCGTTGTAAAACATAGGAATCCTTCACAAACGCACATGTCAGTGACTGCTTGTTCAACTAATATTCACAGGCCAAAGTGGCTCAGGGCATCAATTGATGTCACTGCAGTGCCTTTGTCCTGGAGGTCCTAGGGTTCCTCTCCCGACACTGGCAAGATTTACGACGCGAGTTACATGGCTAGGTCGAATTTAGATGCTGTCTGGAAGAGAATTCTTACGGCCGGCTGCTCTGATCAGTAATATTCCGTGCTTTCTCCGATCTGACACCAAGCCAATGCCGGAGCAGTTCAATAACAAACAGGCTACGGACGGTGCGCGATCTGTCCTTCCCCTTCCTTGTCCGACACTCACTCCTTACTTACATACCTTACATTACGACACATGTTGGGAGACTAGATGGGAGCTTAGAGCGTATTCTGGCTGGGGTAATTCTATGTTGGTGGGAGATACCTGGTTGGGAAAAGCCTGCCGATGACCCTACCGAAAACCCGACTCAGATCTTTGAGGGTTTTCGCCGTCCAGCAGGGGAAGATTTACCACCACTTCCCGCTACAAAAAATGTCCGACACTTACGGGAATGATGACCTTACCAGTTCCCGCGCCCGGCACAATTAATCAATCAATCAATCAAACTCTACCAAAGAAAATGTTCTCATCAGTACCATCTAAACATTTCATATTTTCTCTCAAATTTTAAAGCAAATATTTTATATGACTATTCCACTCGTGAAATTAAAACCAATAGTGTTTATCTATGCATACAAAATACTCCAGTCCGAGCCTTGTATCTGAAGAAGTTTATCTTTTTCTAACCAATTTTTCTTACCACTTCTACCTAATAAACTGCGACGCATCTATCTTAGGAGGCGATAACATCGATCGCCATGTCGATGTCCAATAAAGAGCGTATGTACTACAACATGGGTTTTGGATATAATTTCACTCGTGGAATGGTCATATTAAATATCACTCGTGGTTTGGAAATTCTCAGATAAATCCCCTCCTCGCTTGGCGAGTGGGGAATTTATTGACAATTTTCAAATCACCCATGGTCGTACCAATGATAATTACGCTCAGAAGAAGAGGAGGAGGATGGTTTCTATAGAGTGCGCTTCCGGTTTGCAGCGTGGATGCGGAAGACGGGGTGGACGCTGGCGAGCCGGGCGCGTGGGAGGGCCCCAGCACGGACCCTGAGGCCATCGAGCACTTCCCCGCCGTGGATCCCTCGGAGAACGAGATCGAGAGCGCCGGCCCCGGCCCCCGCTTCCGCCGGATAGCTACGTCAGCCGCAACCCTCGACGAACCCCCCCCCCGCCCCCACCCGTATCTGCCCCATCCCTCGCTTTGGCCCACCTGGCTACCCCCTCCCGACTTCCTCCCAGCGACTCAGACCCTGATCTATACCTGGTCACGTCACCTCCCCGCTCTTCTCACACACCAACATCACTTCACGGAACCTTCCCTCCCCCCCCCCGCACCCCTCCACCTCGGCAAAAATCGCATCGCGATTTCTGGATCATCCCCCAACATGCAGCCTCTACTTTTGCCTCTAACTCTTATGTAAAAATAATAAAGATTACAGAGTTGCAAGCGCATTTTTGTGTCTGATTTTCAAGCACAGTTTCCTTCCTCATTTTCTGTCACTTTCTCCGAGGGGAATGAGAGGTCATTGGATTTTAGCGATGTCAAGATTGGTGCATATTATAGCAATTGACATGTACGTTATTATGTCTCCAGAAAGTTTTTGAATGCTTTTTGCGGTAATATAATTTACTTGATAATTGTTTCGGTGCCACAATTGACCTCTTGCAAAGCCAGGATTCCTCTTGTGTGTGTAAATTCTCAAAATCAGGATAAACGTCACTGATTAATAAATTTTATTCTTTGACAACTTTTCGACGAGTGACTGATAAAATAATTTTCATATTACCATTATGTTCAGTACTTCCCTCTCCTACACCCCGCAAAATCTTTGAGACAGCTGCATTTTTGGCTGTGGCTCTCATGTTTTCTGCTACGTGTAACTTTCAAACATCTCTCCGTATCACTGATCCTGTTACGCAAAGTAATGATTTCTTGTCCCTTTCCTTTTGACAGTATTTGAGACTTCTTTGTCCTGTATTCATCACTTATCCGCTATAGAAACACTAATAACTGAGTTACTTGCTTTTATCAAAATTGTCATTAGGTGATTTTGTGCTCTTTAACATAGTGTTCGGTCCAACGACCACTTGGATTTTCCTTCTCTGATTTGCCAGAATAAGTAAACAATCAAATCTTTTTCCGATAACGAATAAACTTTTTTTTCATGCCAATCTTTAAAACGTAAATACTCATGCTCATATTTCTTTCTTGATTTGTTAGGTAACAATGTTTCTATAGCATCAGTTGCAGTTATTTCTATTCCAGAATCAGAACTACATTCACTCAGGTAAAAAATATACACTAAGTGTGTTTGAATTGTTCTCCTTTTCTGAGAACACACCACTTACAGAAAAAATGTGAATAATAAATGAAGGCGTAGGAAGAAATTTCATATTAAATGTAGCAATGTTTTATATAGTGGATAAAACGTTGTGCGATATTCATATCGTAACATCTTATTACAACTCTCATTTGGTTACTAAACTCGGACTAACGGCCTCGTTTAGTAATTTTCCAATCTCATATTGTAATCAGTTACGACACTTATAACGTATGTATCTGTTATTTAATTGGTAAGTGCTTAAAGCCTAATCCCGGAAACGTAATAAAATATAAAATTTCACAACTTGGTGTCACAATTGACTTGCCTTCTGAACTCAGTTTATAAAATTTGTCAAGGGCTTTTAGGAAAAACATCTTGTTTTATTACTATTGTTAATGTTGTTAATACTCTTGTTTTTGCACGGGTCAGAGCAGGACACTACGGGGTGTGCCGGTCTGGATGGCCGAGATCGCTAAGGAAGTAGTGTCGTAGCGATTTCGGAGCGAAGGATCGCGGGTTCGTGTCCCGCCTGAGCATGATTGTCTTGTGTTCGTCCATTCACACCTCTTTCATCATCATATCGTGTCATCCTCACAGTTACCATATCGTTACATGCAATAGTGGTCGCTAAAGACATAGTAGTCGATGCGACCTTAAATAAAAAAAAAAAAAAATACTGCGGGGTGTGAAATTTTAACTATCACTTCGTCGGAACCGTTTCAGATATCACTGCAAAACAAAAACTAAGTTGGCCCTATCGGTTGAATCTACTTGTTGATAAATTCAGTACATTGAGTTAAATTGTTTCGGACAGGCCGAGAGAGAGTCAGGCAATTGATTTGACGTGGGATTCGTTTTAGTAATTGTATAAGCAATTTTAGTATTTAGAAGCTGAAAATTCGAAAATCACAGACACTTCATACTTATTTATCCGTATTGATTACCTTCCGATTCTATAATTGAAATAATTGAAAGATTCGTTTACGACCCCCTTACTACAGCACTTTCAATCACATGCGTTCCCACTCTCTACCTTAATTACAAATTACGTAATTGTACCAACGAGTAGATTTTTTTATTCTAACTTCTTATGAACTTTCCGCTATCATTTAAGAAATTATTACCCTTGGATGGAACTGCCGAGCGTCAGAAACACCGCACCTCTAATTTTATCAGTACTTGTTTCTTATAAAATTTTAGTATCATATCTACAGTAGTTGACGCACTTAACTGCACATTGGCGGAAGGGAACGAAATAGTTACAAAAATTCAAAGTAAGAACTTCGAAGCCATAATGTGTACACGCGTCTTGAGTTAATGAAGTTATGCTACATCAAGGGGGATTTTTGTATCAATATATTTGATCATTTGGTTGACGGCTAATAGTTCCAAGTGCAGCGATGTCCCGTTGAACACTCTCGCTTCTAGTAATGCTGCTCTCAGCTCTTTCAAAACCAGCGCTGCGAGTTTTATTACTGCCACCGACGAAAGACCTACAACATCGCATACGCTAACCATGACAACTCACATCACGAACACCTCTCACACGATCAATTCAAAAGTTACTCGATCGTAAAATACGGCCTCCATTTCCACATCAACATTCGAGCCGCCTTCTACATTCACTACAATTTCTGTAGATGACGAGTCGGCTCGTCGCTTTAGTTCCAGTAACTCCTCCCCGTCAAAGAGAACAGTTGCCAAAGGCGCCACTGTTCCAACCCGTGCCACGGACGATGCAATGTACGAGCCACGACGAAGGCCGCAGGTGCGACGCCTTTCAGCCACTTCTCAGCAAGAGCAAGGACACTTTATGCCAGTACCACTTGCGTGATGACGCCTCCAAACCTGAAGTTCGCTGTGACGCACCAGTTGGCTACCAGCCCGTCCTCCGAAGCTACGAGATTTTTCGCTACGCGTGAGTAGAGAACTTTCGTACAGTAAATTACACTTCGGGAATGGCATCTAGACCGAATAACAATTTGACCGGTTAAATTATCATTTTCGTAACAGCATTTCCATATACTAGTGAAATAATCTTTATTAGTAAAGAGCCAACTGTATACTTTATGTTAATTGGGGTGTATAATTAAGAAAATGAACTCGGGTTATCTTCCTTAAAAAATAATCCATGGTACTGTAGGCTAATACGTATATTTACTGAAATTGCAGTACGTTTTTGCACACATGTATTAAGCTTTAATAAACTTTTGGTTTATTGTTGATGGCGGCATTCCAAATGTAAGAATAAAAGGCGTTATCTTGGCCAACATTTATATTTACGGTAATCGCAGCCTTCAATGGCTCATCCATCATGATCAGTTATCTGATAAAAAAAACCTATAAAAATATGAAAAACGAAAAGCGTAGTAATGGGCCAATAAATAGATAATTGAAGTTTCATTAAATATGTAAATGTAATTTAAAGAAGTATAAATGAACTTTATATACCAAAAGGAAAGGAAAAATGTGTGTTTTTTAAACACTATAAAAAAATAAGTACCACTCCACCCCGTAGTTAAAACTGTTTCTTTTAGAGCAAGCAAAGCGTGTTAAAATTCAATTTTAAACCTAGTGATTAAAGTGAAACGATGCTCAAATGAGGTAAAAGGGGAAAAAGCAAAGGAAATGAAATTATTTCGTCAGATCGCATCAACTACTACTGACCTTTATGTAACTTAGTCATTTGTACGCTTGAATTAAAATGAATTCCAGTAAGGTACTCTAAAAATAGTGTACGGAACACCGCGGGAAAAGAGATTTTATTTCGCTCGTAGAATTGCGCCGCTCGGCTTAATGTTGCAACCTTTCCTACTCGCAAAATGAAGTGCTCCTGCTGATACATCTTGTTTTCCTGCTTATACATCTTCTCAACTTGGAAAAAACAGGTAATATTTTTCCGCGAATTAAATCACGTTCATCAAAAGATCTCTTACATCCTCCATAGTTAACCTCTCTTCTTGTATCTATTATTTCTTGTATAAATGTTCATGTATTACGGTCTATTTATGTTTGTTAATTTTTGAGATCTTTGTCTCTCCAAAATCAAACAAAATACGTATACATGCCAATAGTATGTTTAGAGGTTACTTTTTAAGTCTCTTCTCATATTGTATTTGTTGTTAATATAATGTCCACACCTTTGAAAGACAAATTTTGGTTGAACACGGGTCAATACATTTATTTTTAAAAACGCAAACAACTCTTATTATAAATAATTATTAATACTACAGACACAAATTTAGTAAGAAGTAAGAAGAGTAAATCTACACAACCGAACAGTAAGCCTCCGGACAGCAAGTATAGAAACGACCCAACTTGCATTTCATGTTATTGTTATTAAACTTAAAAATATTACAAATTTTAATTTCTCATTTAACTCTTGCATTCTTCTTAACCTTTGTCGTAAAGTCGATGCAAGCTTCGCGACATTGGTGAAGAGAAGCGATTTCGAGTGGTGGGAAGAAAGGCATCGAGAGCACAACACGTTTCGTAGTTGACATGAAATGAAGAGTTTAATAAAAATTAAAATTGTATTTGAGCATAAAATGCGTTGGACATGTTGAACCGTATTTTATTTCATTTATGCAGGCCGAAGGTCGGAGTCTAGTTGTGAAATGGAACACGCGGAGTGAAGGGTCAATGCGTCTTAACAGTTTGTGGTTATGAATACGTACCAGTTTAGGTGGCTCAAGAAATCAATTGATGTCACTGCAGTACCTCTGACCGGGAGGTCTTAGGTTTCCACTCCACAGAGTGGCAGGACTCTCGACACTAGCTAGAAATCTGGGTCGAATAATGCCGCTGTCTGGAGAAGAATTCTCCAGCTACTCTGATCGGTAGTTTTACCTTGTTTCTCCGATAAACACAAGGCGAATGCCGGAGCAGTACCCTAACAAACGGACCACGGACCGCGCGCGATCTTTCCTTCCTCTTTGTCTTATCCTCACCCCTTACACACACACACACACACACACACACACACACACACACACACTTACACGCACTACACTACGACAGATGACGGGAGCTCAGGCTTAGAGCTTGTCCCGGCTGGGGAGGTGCCGTGCAGACAGGAGATAACCTGGTTGCGGAATGCCTTGCAAGCCCACTTGTAGAGCAGCTCCGGATCTCGTCATCCAGTGGGGGAAGACGACCGTCACCTTCCATCATAAAAAATAGACTTATGGGAATAATGACTTTACCGTTGACGCGACCGGAAACACTATTCAATCATAAATGCGTCGCCGTTCCCCTCAGAGGCCCACGTTGTCGTTCGCCATATTTTCGCGGAAGTGAGCCGATTCTCTCTCGCTCGTTACGATAAGGGGGGGGGGGGGGCGCAAATTCTGTCATCATCCCAGAATGAGTGATTTTTGACGTAATGTTTCAGATCGACTCACGACGTGACACCGACCACATGGCGACCGCGCGTGGAGCGGCGGGTGCACGTTCGCCCTATATCACGTGGTGGGGACCATTACAGTGGCGCACTCTAGAGCATCACATTCTCACACGAACTAAAATACGAACTGCTACCAACGTTATTTAAAACGCGCGTGGGTTCTCGGGACGCAAACACACGCGTTTGATACAAAAGATCGCGCCGCTGTTCGCGCCACCTTTTCTTTCATATGTGTAATATTATGAATAAATGAAGTTTAGAAGATAAACACTTGGTATTTAACTTCTTTTGTGATTTATTTCAGAAATCGCTCATAATCAAAGTGTATTCGTTTTTCTTGACCAATTTTTATGTGCGAAAGTTGGCGAGCCTTACTAACATCGGGCGGCAGTAGTACATTTTGATGGAGAGTTGCCGGGCCCTGGGGTCGTGAGCGTACAGGGTGGAAAACCTGGCGGAGCTGGAGGGGCTGAGCGTGGTGAGGGTCGACTCGTTCAGCCAATCAGGGAGTACGTGGATGGACGCGCCGGCGGCACTCGCCCTCTTCGGCTTCAGGCTGCTGCAGTGCTGCAACTGGAGGTCCGCGAGGACGGGCGAGGCGCTTGCGGCGCCGCCTCCTTCCGACCGAATTGCTCGTGAGTCCCCACGATTTTTTTACAATTTCTCGACGTTCCAAAAGGTACTTATTGAATGCCATTATTGAAGGCGATATTATTGCCTGCCTAACTTACCTGCATCGAAGAAATCGTTGTTTCGAGGGAAATATGAAAACTCTTGATTGGTGCTACTTGTTCTCTTATGGAGAGAATTAAGAAGGGAAATTATGGGAGGGAAATATGGAGAGACAAAAAGTATCTTCTTAATAATAAGTCAATTAGTAAATACGTCTACCTGAATCACTATAATTACGTATAAAAATGAAATAATATACCATGGACATTGACTGCTTCTAATAATCTCGGACAGCAAAAATTCCTCGGTTTTCTTGTCGCCGCTGGATTACTAGAACCTATCTAACGTCTTTGGTGTATAAATAACTACAGGACGCAATTGTATGCTGTTCTTTAAAACAAACGTAATTACAATATGATTACTACAGCGTGTCTATCACAAAGTACGAATCCGCTCAGGACACTCTTCGGACATCCCGCACTGTGTTTTGTTTCACGTAAATAATCAAATCAAAATTAAATAATTATTAATGTAACAATTTCGGATTATTGTGTCGTTGTTCGCACGGAACTTATGTAAAACGAATTCGGAACCTTGGAAGAGATACGCGGCGAAAAAAAAAAATAATATTAAGAAATTAAAGAACAATTATTTATTAATTAAAGGTATACTCTGACTTTGACTGCCAAGAAAAGCTCCTAAAATTAAAACCGTTTCCTTGCCGGGGATTTGATCCACCCTATCATTTAAGGGGGGGGGGTCATTGATTTTTGTTAAATAATAAACCTATTTGTTACCATGTTGAATATTATTTTTATGTTGGTATTTTGTCTATTTATTTTAGACGTTATATGCAGTTTTTCTTGTGTCTCTTATTTTCGTTTTTCCTGCACTTTTCTCATTTTAATTTTTTTCCCTAGATTTTTTTTGAAGGGGGTCATGACCCCCCCCTCTGATAAAAAGCTCGTTCGAGAACGACATTGAATATACGTCACATACAGGGTAGCAGGACTGTAAAATTGCGGATTGGTATTTATTATTAAATGAAAAATTATGGTCAGAGTAGTATCGTAGAAAGTGTAGAAGTAAATATGAAGATAAAACGCTGTCAGCTGTCAGTGGTGATACAACGAAACGAGCTGCACATAACCTCGGTTAAGGTTACATAACTTCCGCAACTAAAGAACATTGCGAATAAACTTAATAGACAATAGAATGTTCTACGAAACAAATTTTGTATTTATTCTTTCGTGTTTAATTATTGATTATTTGGATGATTATTCCGAAATTACGACCAAGACAACTGCTATGGTCAGTAGTCCCGTTTATTTGGATGATTATTCCGAATTTCCGAACTATAGTCATTAGTCCCGTTGAGGTAGTGATTTTTTATCAACGCAGGTGGCGGTGATTTCCCCCGTGATGTTGGTTGTGAGATCCGACGCTGGCCTACACGTCATCTTGCTGAGGGGGGGGGGTGCGATTCCCCATCCAGATATCTCCCACCTACGGGCATCGCTCCAAATGGCACAAGTTCTTTGCTCCCGACAGTGTTCTATGCCCTCGACATGTGTGGTAGTGTAGTGCATTTAGTTGTAAATGTATAAGTAAAGGCAAGAGAAAAATGCTTCAAGACTCGATTATTTTTTTTTTTCGTTCAGGAGAAAAGAAGTTGAATGTATATTTACCTCTAATCCAACTTTAACACTACTAGTTCTTTTTTTTATGCATAGAAAAAATGAATTCTGTTTATGAATTGGAGGAGCAGGAAATGTTTTGTTTCAAATAACCCCGCCCCCCCCCCGCCTTGGATCAACTGTCCCGGGGTTTTCTCTAGGTGCCTCTGAGTATGGCGGGAGGAAAGGCCGGACAATGAAGAGGAAGGAATGATCGCGCGCGTTCTGCGTCCAGTTTGCTAGGGTACTGCTTAGGCATTCGCTCGGTGTTGATCGGAGAAACCAAAGTGACTAGCGATCAGAGCAACCGGGTGCTAGGATTCTCCTCGAGGCAACGGCTGAATTCGACGTTGCTATCGAACCAGTGTCAAAAGTCCTTCTACGGGAGTGGAACCCTAGCATTTTCGGATCAGAGGCATTGCGGCAGAGAATCCGTTGCGCCATGAGCCATCTAAGCCGGAACAACAAGTTTTAAATTTAAATAGATCCTAGTATATAAGAATGTGTTTCATTGACATAATGCAATTATTTGTGTATTGTTGCTGAATATTACTGAGAAGTAGTGAAAATAAGTATATTTACTAACATGCAGAAAACTGTAGAAAATAGTGCAGGAGCTGCCTAAGGCGATTGCAGGTCGTGTCGAGGACAGGAATAGCAGCCAATCGCGCCGTGTCATGCCGTGATCAGGGAAGGGATGCGAGAGCATCGTTTTGAAAACATCATCGATGTGTTGAAAACATCATCGATGTGTTGAAAACATCATCGATGTGTTGAAAAGCATCATCGATGCGTTGGAAAACATCATCGATGTGTTGAAACATCATCGATTGTGTTGAAAACTTCATCACCCATGTGTTGAAAACATCATCGATGTGTTGAAACACATCGATGTGTTGAACATCATTGAAACATCACTCGATGTTGTTGAATACATCATCGATGTGTTGATAACACATCATCCGATGTGTTGAAATACATCATCGATGTGTGAAAACATCATCGATGTGTTGAAAACATCATCGATGTGTTGAATACACTCATCGATGTGTTGAAAACATCATCGATGTGTTTGAATACATCATCGATGTGTTGAATACATCATCGATGTGTTGAATACATCATCGATGTGTTGGAGTTTACATCATCGATGTGTTGAATACATCATCGATGTGTTGAATACATCATCGATGTGTTGAATACATTATCGATGTGTTGAATACATCATCGATGTGTTGAAAACATCATCGAAGTTTTTTATGGAAACATGGATGTTTTAAACGTAGATGCGAGAACGCCGATGTTTCCTTAAAATCGATGGTTTGTGCTCGATGTTTTTTTAAGTTTCCAATGCTTAGGTTAGAGATGAAAAACTCATACAATCATAATTCTGTAAAAGTTAAAATATGAGGTAATAACTGTTGCCTGATCGAATCAAAGGAACGTTGTTTGTACTGCGTTCCTCGAGCAGGTTATCTGTCCCCGGAGGATGACCCCGATGCCCTTACAGTGCCTACGTCCTTCCTCGTATTTCGCACTTGGAGAGGCGGCTAGCGCATGCGCCGTGGGCAAAGGGCTTCCCCCCTCCCGTACCATCTTCAGCGAACTAAGGACTGACACTTTTCAGGTGACACTGGGCTCTCAAGTTTTGAAAGTCAGGATTATGCATTGTTTTTAATAAGATTTTTCTTAGTTTTCAATTAAATGTTTATGGCAAATTAATATTCATGACCACTGACAATTTAAATTTTGTTGCGCACGAATTTAATTTTATGCGTTACTAGACCATATTTTAAAACCTCGATGTTTTATAACATCTATTCTTCTTGAAGTCGTAGGCTTCCGCGACCAGAGTCATGTGGGTGATCTGGGTTGTCCGAGAGACGCCGCGTCGAAGGCTGAGTTGCCAACGTTTCGACCATCGTGTCGTGGTCTTCCTCTTGTCTGGTCCTGGTTGATACCAGCCCTGAGGAAGACCACGACAGGATGGTCGAAAGGTCGGCAACTCAGCCTTCGACGCGGCGTCACCCGGACAGCCCAGATCACCCATCTATTCTTCTTGACCGATGTATTATTAACATTAATTTATTATTATCATTTATTTCGAGCATCGATGACTGGTAATTTATTTTGATGTTCAGTTATCGATGTCGCAGCACTAATACAGAGGTGAGGTCTGCGAGCAAAGAGCAATGGAGCTGCGTGATTTTAAAGGCAAAAAATCACCAAAATACGAAATACTAAGCAATGAATAAATTAATATTCCAGCAATGAAGAATAAAAACATAAATTTTATGTTGGAAAATATCAGGTCCCTTCCTATTTCTTGTCAGGAATTGTACATAATTGTACAATTATCATACGATCACACTTATCAGATAGATGGTGACCTCTATGCGGGAAAGCGGATTTGTCCAAAACTCGTAAATAAACGAAATATAATATTGAAGACTTGATTTCTTTATTGATTAAGAATATTCTGGTAGACATTTCGGGGAGGGTTCGTCAGTATCTTCAAGTGATAATGAAGTGACAATGAAATAACAGATACCCAAAAACATTTATAATTCGAGGAGGGAGGGGAGCAATAAAGTTCCGAAACGATGGCAAACGAGGATTTTAATTAATGACTCACGCCTATTAACTATTTCCAGAAAAACATTTATAATTCGAAAGCGACAAGATTTAAAACGTAAATTAAAACACAACAATGCATTTATTGTAATAATTTCGAAGTCTCCAGGTAAAATTTTAGATTAAGTAAATTACGTATTTCTTTTGAAGAAAGGAGGCAACTTAATAAAATAAATGATGGGAGTAACTGGGAAATATATATTTTACATTAATCATGGTCATCAAAATTAAATAATGTAATAATTTTTAGAGAAATATCAAGGCGATACCAATTGTAAATCAACACTACCTTGCCTGTCGGATGCCACTTAATCATTAGTTCCATCTGAGAGAAGAATGTTTAATCAGACCAGCGCAGGCGTCAAAAATCTTAACTCGCTCTACAGTGAAAGTTATATTTCCAAGATAGTGTGAAAGCTTGCCTTCACCAGTCCCCAGTTGAAACCGGGTAGGAGAGAGAGAGAAGAATCGGTAAATTATTGAAGGTAGAAAAAACGGTAATGGGGTGATCAAATTACAGTTTGTTCTATCAGTTCTCATTCTTATTTCCTGTCTGACCCTAAAAATGATATAAATCATTGTGAAAGTATTCCATACATGGTTTTTAAAATATTCCTATGCTTTATGTTCAGGGTTCTGAAAAAAATCTTGAG